TTGCAGGTTTTTTTACTGACACAAAAAACCTGTGATGTCGTGTGAAATCAAGAAAATCGGACAACGAAACCATACGATAGCTCCAGCTCGGGTCTGCTGGTCACGATGACCTCTGATTGGTGGAATCATGGGGCACTGTCACTTAAAAATGGCTTGACGCAGTCTAAGTTTTGCTATAAATGTTGCAAACACATATTACTTTTACAACTGGCAGGGGACGGCCTCAGCCAGGATTTCTCCTGGGATACTCAGCAGCGCACCAAGGACAGGCCACCACGCCGTCTGCACATGGGGCTGCTGGGGCCTATGATTCTGGAGCCCTCCTGGCTGAAGGCTCTTCTCGGAATTCTGAGAACACCTGAGGCCTCCTCCCTGTCGCCTCCCCCGCCAGTGGGGACACAGGGTAAGGGAGGGAGCTGCAACCCTCTCTGCCATGCTGAAACGAGGGCGTCCACACTCGCCCTCGATCATGGGCACGGCGGCACTTCCTCCGGAGGTGGCCCAGCTTCCGTCTCACACAACCTGCCCTGGCCAGTCCCCTGCAGGACGCCGTACCTGAGCCGCATTCACCCTCTGGGCTCCTCGAAGCTGCAGCCTCAGGACGGCTGCCCTCGCCTAGGGATGCTGGGCCCTGGTCTGCAGGGACGGCAGGCCAGAGGACGCACGCCCTCCACAGAGGCCCCACAGAGGGCGAAGTGGGGAGACACTGCTCCCCTCAACGCCCCCCCGGGGAGAGTTGTTTTAAACTCACTGCCCTTACTCAAAACCAGCCACGTAACCCCGACTCCTCAACCTGAACAAGCGCAGAGACACAACAAATTTAGAGTTCAAAGATCTTTGCATCAATTCGTAGAGAGTGAAACAGCTTCCCAGGGGCTGGGGTGGCGGTGGTGGTTAATGGGGCGGTGTCGGTCTGGGGAGATGGGAGCGTTCTGGACGTGGGCGGTGGTGCGGATGCACAACAGCGCGCGTGTGCCCTGCCACTGCACACCTGGAAACATTAAAACGGCGAAGTGCACGTTATACGTTCACAGATCTTTAAGATCAAAAATTAAAAACCTTTCTCTTTAAAAAAAATTCTTTGCACCTAGAGGACTGGAGCATGGATGAGGAAGGCGAAGACTGCTGACCTCCCTCACGCTGGCTGCGGACACGGCCCCCTGGCACGGCCAGCGGCCCGCACAGTGGTCCCCCCCGGCGAGCCATCTCAGGTCAACTACCCCAGTATGGGTAACTGCGGTCAATTATTTGAGACTTAAGTTCCACCCCTCCCTGACTGCCCCTGCGTAAGCCGGAAGCTCAGGGGTCCCCGCGAGGTCTGCGCTGGACATTCGCTGGCCTTGCTCGCCCGCCCTGCACTAGGAGCAGCTGCAGGCTGCCACACAGGTGCAAGCAGGTGAGGACGGCCGTGGCGTCAGGAGCGTTCCACTGATCGTAGGCAAAACCGCGCTCACCAACTCCTTCTGCAGGGACGGTAAAAGCTCACTTAACCGCAGGTATCTGGCAACTTGTGCAGGTAACACGCGAGTGGGATCTGTGTCTACGGGGTCTTTGAGCCTTTCGCACACGCAGCAGTCAAGTTCACGCGTGACAGTCCTGGGGAGAAGCCCCTTGGCCTTTGCTCAAAGCCCATTTGGCTACATTCTGCACACCAACCACAGGCTTTGATGGCTGGGTTCTCAGACCAGGGCACAAGAAGGTGGCATATGTAAAAGGAAGCTTTAGGTGGACAGAGGTGGTAGAGGATGTCATCAAACTCATGACAGCAACCTGAAGCAGCAGGGAGCACAGCAGGCAGGCAGAACCAGGAGAGAAGACGCCTTAGGCCCACGGAGTCAGGGCACCGCACGGCCTCGCGCGGCCAGCACACCACCCGAGGTGTCCCAAGCTGAGCCCTCCCCTCCCTAAAGAAACACGACAGAAGAGTAAGGGGCCGGAAGAGGTGATCGCGGACAAGGAGACAGGACCTGGCAGTAAACACGCCAGCGACGCTCACTGGGAACAGATGAGACTCAAGCTCCGACGGCAGGACATTCTCACCCAGGAGACGGGGGATACCGGAAAGTGTGACAATGTCACAGAGTGGCGCAAAGACTCCCACACCGCGCTGGGGGACGCAGGCTTGGGGACTGCTGTGGAGGGCATTCTGTGACCTCTCAAACACGCCCTGGGATGCTGCTTCAAAGAGTCCGCCTGGCCGTCCGCAGGGCACCACACACAAGGACGTCCCCTGGGACGGAGAGAACACTGAAGCAACCATGACACTTGTCGACGCACAGACGCACAAAATGCGATGCTCCGTTTGCAGGGGCACCGCACACGCCACGGGAACAGGAAGGCCCTGGCTCCACGTGGCGACAGACAGATGTCGAAACGTAAGGCGAGAAACACAGGCTGCACGCCCATGTGGCCGCGCTTGTGGTCACTACAAACACGACCACGTGGCCGCGCTTGTGGTCACTACAAACACAGAAACTAAGCACTGTGCATCTCGCGGACACTGGGATGCACTGCAAAGGTCTAAAAAGCAACCTCACACTGGGAGGTTCAGGGAGTCAAGGGGGCTTTATTTCAATCAATATATGATGATCCTTTATTTCTACTTTTTAGGCTTCTCAAAATAAATTTCAAAAGGAGCAGAAAAAGCCAGACGCCTAAGGACAAACACTATGTTCCCCTCACGTGGGCTGCCCAGTGGAGCCAAACTCTCAGAAACAGAAAGCAGACGGGGTGCCAGGGCCTGGGGACGGGGGTCGGGTGGTTGTCTG